ACGTAACAGACAACGAACACGCAAGCCTCAATTCTTATCCATTGACACGAGCTCAGCAGACTCCACTTCGGAAACAGACACCAGAGCTACCTCAAGCCAAGGAGGGCTCATCAGAGATACACAACAAACCCAATCATCAACTTTTTTAGGGCCGGAACGACACACAAACGATCCCCCTGGCAAATATCAACGCACAAGGAGAGGTTCAAAAGACGCAGATTTATTAGAAGAGGACAGAGGAACAAGATCTATAAATACCAGATCCAAACCACCAACCAGAAGGACATAAATCCAGTCTTCAACCTATCTTCCAAGACGCTGACCAATGCCCACAATCAAGTACTATCCAAAGGACTTACATTCGTTCCGACGGCCAAACCAGACGCATTTAAAACCGGGGTTGAATTGTTCAAAATGAACAGAATTTTAAATATGCAAGCTACTCGTGATACCATGACAGTAAGACCATCCTCATCATTCAAACTCAAAAGCGTTTGGGAACCTAAATACACACATCATGCCATCAAAACCTTCTCCACTATTTTGAAAACTGACATGGACATCATTCTTGCACAACAACAGAAGAAACCGGATAATTTAACCCAGGCAGAAAGAACTGCTCTCAGAGATTTGAGCAGGGATGATCAACTTGTGATTCGAGCAGCAGATAAAGGGGGAGCAATAGTCCTACAGGACTATACGGACTACAGGGAAGAAATTTTAACCCAATTATCTGATACCCAGACATACAGAAAGCTAACTTCTGACCCCACGAGCAAGATCAGCACCAAAATACAGGAGTGGATAACATTGGGAACAGCAGCAAATTGGCTGGATCACAGCACAGCGGAATATTTGCTCAATACACATCCGAAAATTCCGATCCTTTACACACTCCCTAAGATACACAAGGACGCAAAGAAACCACCTGGGAGACCAATTGTATCCGCTCGAGGAGGTTTACTGGAACCCATAGCTAAATACGTGGATTTTTATTGTAAGTCCACAGTCTCCAGATTATCCACATGCCTAAGGGATACCCAAGACTTCCTTAATAAAATCACCAGCTGTGAATTAAACGACACACAGTACATCTTCGCCACGGCAGATGTAAAAAATTTGTACACGGTGATTCCTCACAATATGGGGATGGATGCGATGCGAACACTGCTATTACAATCAGATGTCTATGAAGGTCCCCCCATTGAATTTTTGTTAGAAGGATTACTACTTACATTGACAAACAATTATTTTCGTTTTGAAAAGAATTTCTACATTCAAGAGATGGGAACAGCGATGGGATCGGCAATAGCTCCAACATATGCGAATAGTTTTATGTATGCATATGAGAGCAGACACATTCTGTCCACATATAAGGAACATTTGATACAGTATCACAGGTTTGTGGACGACATCTTTATTTTATGGCAAGGCACGGCAACAGAATTGGAGAAGATGATTGAAGAACTGAACAATTTAAACTCCACCATTAAATTTACTTTGACGTACAGCCCAGATAAAATCCAATTCTTGGATGTGGAGATATTCCGGAAGGATCGAAACATTGGACATCGATTATTTAGAAAACCCTCAGACCGCAACACGCTGTTACACGCCAACAGCGCTCATCCCAAAGCCCTAAAGGAGTCTTTACCTATTTCGCAATACTTAAGAGTGTACAGGAATAACTCGGAGGAAAGCACATGTAAAACTCAACTAGAGGACATGACCAGATCCTTTGTGGAACGAGGATACACATATAAAGTGCTCCAAGAATGTCAAATAAAAGCAGAAAATATATACAGGGGCATATCTACTAAACAACTTCAAAATCTGCCCAGAATTACGATCCCTTTATCATACCACACGGAGAGCCAGAGATTTTCCCACAGGATTAAAGGGAGATGGGACATCTTATCCAGCGACAGAACACTTAATCCGGTTTTTTTTACAGAAACCAAGGGTCGCATATTCACGCAACAGAAACTTGAAGGACATTTTAGTAAAAACAGATATACCGAGCCAATATAATACACGAACATTGCATACCAAGAAAGGCTGTTTCAAGTGTTCAGGTTGCGTCACCTGTGGACACATGCTGACAGGCTCTTCCTTTGCACATCCCCACACAGGCAAAAGAATCCAGATCAAACATCGACTAACCTGCATGAGTGACCATGTAGTATACCTCATTTCATGCCCATGTGGGAAATATTATGTGGGTAAAACAGACCTTACAGTAAGGGACCGTATTCGTGGTCACAGATCAGGAATCATGACGGCGTACCGGGATGGGAAGACTGATAAACCTGTGGCAAAACACTTCCTAGATTTCCAACACCATTTACCCACGCTTAAGTTCATTATGATAGACCACATCCCACCGCTCACAAGAGGAGACGACAGATCAAAGTTACTTTTACAAAGGGAAACCTTTTGGATCACACATCTGGATACGGTCCAACCGAAAGGATTAAACGAATACAACTCATTTAGTTGTTTTTTGGATATCCGTTGATATCGCTGAGCAGTAAATGACTTGGATGCGAGATTTTGACTCAGGATTTAATGACCATCCCATAATAAAGAGGACATTGTGAATTATTTCCATCTGATTTCCTGCCGGTGGGAGTTACAATACAGAGCTGCAAGAAAGGGTTGTGGACTTCCAATTGGTGATTGGGGATAGTACATACATCTAGGCACTTTTGGCTTTTTGATAAATACCCAGTGACATAAGGTTCTTATAGTAGGACCCTCTCTCCTTTTACCTAATTTTTCTCTTTTCCATTTCCTAGCATGCAGATCTTGGAGGCTGCACTGGCATATAGTTAGTAGGATCACTGTTACATTTTTTATTGTTTATTTTCTCTTTATTGTTTATTTTTACTATTTTTATTTTTTGTTATTTTTATTTTTATTTTTATTATATTTTTTATTTATTTTGATATTTATTTTTATTTTATTGTATTTTGTATATATTTTTTATTTCATTTTATTTTATTTATTTATTTATTTACTTACATTTTTTTATTGCATTCTTACCTTTCTGACAGTGCATTCTCATTATTCACGAGGGCTCATTACACTTTTAGTGCATGTTTCAGCTGCACAGTCTTTTTCACTTTTCATTGATTGTCTCATTTCTAGAGGTCAGGCAGTATACTCACATTTTTTACTACATCATTTCACACACACACCGGAGAATGATCTTAGTAGCACACACACACTTTTTTCTACAGTGTCTCAAATACATACCGTAGATTGATTTAGTACAGGATTTTCCCATTCTTGCTTTATTTTTTACTAGTTTGGAATTCACACATACTGATTTGTCACTCACCATTTAATATTCCCTGTGTTTATTTATTTCATCACACACATGCTGATCACTCTACACTATATATGGACCCCAGTAGATAAAGGGTCAACATCACACACACTCTCTGTTATATACTGACAACTCACATTATGCTAAGCCAGCCTGTTTTCTGTAATTGATGCCTGTTCTTATTGTTTAGGTTTGTGATTTGGCAACACACATGGCTTTCCCAGCTAGGGTTCCCAATTGAATAAGGAGTTAGGTAGTATTTGAGTTAGCTCTATTAGGCTACACAGGTCCACAGTTACCAATACACCAGTCTTTCTAACTGAGTCCCTATATGAGCAATCGTTTCTAGCCATTCCTGGCTCACTCTAGTATCCTACGATCAGTTAGGCAGTTGCCTAGACATTTATGAAAACACATATGCAACATATAATTTTATTTATCCTCCGTATTGATTTTAAATCTCTGCCGACATTTGGTTTTTAAACAGCTGTGCCGTCTCTAGGCAACACATGGTGATTTCACCACACGTCACTTTACGGCAATTAACATAACGATCCACAATTTGCGGCTTCACTCATATGGCAGATTGGACACACAGGGAGCACTTGGTGATTGGGTAAGTTTAACAAGCGTTTATGTATATATTTGAGGTTTTTGTATATGACAGCATCTTGATAAAGACCGCTAGACGGTCGAAACGTCGATTTTTTTTTGTGCTATTTGAATACAGTAATTTGATTTACCAAATCCATGGAGTGCTCTCATTTTTTGCTTTGTTTATATATATATATATATATATATATATATATATATATATATATATATATATATATACACACACACACACGTGTTTGTGTATAACTGCCAAAAATGGCGTACATTTGTCAAGTGCTAGGCTTATGCAATGAATTAGAATATACTGTAAACAAATCCCCACTAGTTTTGCTTAAGTGAGGCGTTTAATAGGTTTGTTTTTTAATTTATGAGCTTTGAGTTTGGTGTGTAGTGAGTGAGTGCCCCTTATAATTTATGCATGTTTAGGTGAGTATGTTTAATATGTTTTGTGAGTCTAAGCCAGCTCCTGTGGTTTTGCACTTCTCACAGGTGCCTCGTTACAGGGCCCTATTTAACTTTGCACTGCAGAGTCCCAGGAGGACGTATTCCCCAAGTAAGTGGATAAGTCTCATAAGAGCAGGCATTAGGTTGCTAGAGTAGGACCTGTCAAGAATGGGGTACATTGGCGTTGTGGCAGGCTTATGCAGTGTATGATCATATGCTGCAATTACCCCCCCTCCCCCATTATTTTTATCTAAGTTAAGTGGTTAAAAAAATTTACAAGTTGGTGTTTAGCGAGTTGGGTATTGCATAATAATAATAAAAAATAAATTAAAAAAAGAGGACATTTATAACGATAATGCAGATAAAAGATCTACTTCTACCTTTTAGAGAAAGCAGGTGTCGAGAAAGGGACTCCTGTTAAAGGAGTATGTGGATTGGAGAGTATCCTGTTTATGCATGGTACAGTGTGTGTCCCACATGTGGCATGTACTGAGGGATGTGATCACATCTTACACAGGTCTAATTGCCAACCTGGTCCAGGGCAACATCTTCCTCCCCTCTAAGCAGTCACTACAACAGTGCTTGGTAGGGAATACATGTATATGGAGCATGCAGAGAGCTACATTTAAGTAATATCACCAGTTATGAAAAGTGAGTGTGTGACACAGATGCTCTACATCCTACAGCTTTAGTTTTGTAGAATAAGTGTAGTGCAGCACACAATGTCTGGCTCTCAAAAGTGTGAGTTTGCTCCTAACACCAGTCTTATTCGGTCATCTAAATTCAGACTTCAGTAGACAGGTTGAGGGGGTCACAATCTACACATAAAAATGTTATTACGTTGGTCATTTGTCAGCTCATGGTTTACAAATAAACTCTGTTTCAGAAAACATATATACTTTATGATATGATTAGCAAGTGCCATGGCTTGTTAACCAGATACAGTATTATGCAGTACTGCAGCATAGGAAAATTCTTTGAGGTTGAAGTTTAAAGGTTCATTTAAATCAAAAGACTCGTCCTGGGCCACCCCAGTTCTTGAAATAAACAGTTTTCTACATGAAAATTAAAGGGATACTCCAATACAGCCTGCTGCATAAGTTATTGTGCCAGGATTGCCCTGGTTCCATCCCATAGTAAGATGACATACGGTTATAGCATGGTTTAACAACTTACCTGGGTTCTGCCAGGCACCTGCAAATCATCCAATCAAGCTGCATGTTTCTTTAAAGCAAAGCAGAACCAAACACACTGGCTTAAAGTGCTCAGCTGATGCTCTCAGCTAATGACTGCACCCTTGAATTGGTCACATTTGCTTGGAATGAGTCTTTAATACTGCCACCCAACCAGACCAACAACATTTTACATGGAATGTAAGAACAGCTATAATAAAAATGTGCATTCTCCATTATGATCTGAAACCATTACCAGTTTGCCCCATGCATCCTTCACTGTAGCTGTCTCCACGAACTTGCCCATTAGACACAGCATTTATCCTAAAATAAATAATAATAATAATTCAATTTCATACAACAAAGAGGACTGTCTAATAAATGAGAGCTCTTAAGAATGCTTGAATAAGTGCTAGGAAGCCTAACTCTTTTATCTGCCACAGAGAGACCACAAAGACCACACTACCATGCTACACACCAAGGAAAAGGCAGCTTTGTGTAACACGACAGAAAGATATGAAATGTGAAGGTAGAGAATTGTAAAAGCAATGGAACAAATAAAATAAAGAAAGTCGAAAGGGTAGATAAGTAGAGCAACGGAAATGTGAAGCAGGAGTGCAATAGAAATTGGTGGTTGTATATTTTGTTGGTCGGATTACAGTTAGGTATAATCCAATAAAATGCAAACAGTAGCTTACTTATACTAATAAAGCCAACTGCCAAATGTAATGAGGACGCAGGCGGCATTGAAACGCAGAAATGGGACTTAGATCAGAAATGGTCAGACCTTTTGACCCCTATTGGTCAGCACTTACAAGCTAAAAGGGAGCAAGTTGTATCTGCAAGTTCTGGTGCCATAAACAGCAAGTACTATTATATATATATTTTTTTTTTTTCGAAGCACCTGCGTCTCAATTCCCTTAACTCAAATAAAGCACTCCCTCATGCTTCTAGCACAGAAGCTTCTCATAAGCAGCAGAATAAGTGGAAAGCTTGCAAAGGCTGCAGATGGCAGGTCTGCAGCTTTTCCAAACAGTTTTTTTCATATACCTTAAAAAAAAACATAAATGCACTATTCTGCATGTTTTCTATCAACTAAATTATTAAGAATAAAATAAGGGTAATGTAAACCATAACAGCAATCTTGTAAATATGCATGTTATATATATTGACATGTTTGGGTTTTTTATTTTCCCAATAACAATTAAAATTAGCCCAGGCTCCTACACTATTGAATATATATATATATTACAAACATGGTTATTTCTGATCAATATAGGTTTTGACATTTTTATAAGCCACGACTGCACCAGGGAGGTGGTGTCCACTGTGCAAATAAACAGACATTTGTACATGGAATTCTCATCATCCTTCAACAGCAGCTTGCCTGTGGTTCTACTGTTTGACTACAATTCCCAACAATTAGAGCCATTAATGTCACTTTTACTTACATTAAAAAAGCAACTGTGGCTATGACCCCACATGCATGGTATGAATGATTCAGTGAATCTGTACTGGGATATTTAACAGCTGCATCAATGATGATCCACCAACCTGTGAAGAACTAAGAAATACCATACTATGAGAAGACATTTATGAACAGAAATATATATAAACACTGGTGTGAAGTATCATATACAGAACTACTGTACACAATGCTATAATTTATTGAGGCTCTGTTTAAAACAAATATCTGCACAACCTATAAACTTAAATTTCATAATATGTTTTGTGAACTATATGCAAGTTAAATAACAGTGTAACCTTTGGGAAACATCCAGAGAAGGGGTTCTGATACTTGTTAGGTTGACCCTTTTTTCTCTCCTTCCCTTGGGCCTACCAATTCCCCTCTTATCCATCTATACTGGTACTCATGTTTGTTTCTCATTTTGTGAGATGTGGCTCCTTTTATAACTATTTGTAGAATTGGATAATTGTTGTTTGATGCACGTTTCATTGCAAGTTATTCTTTGTAAGCATGCATACATGATGAATAAACTTTTGTATTTAATATTTGCAATAAACAATTTAAAGGGCCTCTCTAGTGCCAGGAAAACAAACCCATTTTCCTGGCACTAGAGAATCCTGGAGTGCCCCTCACCCCATGTCGCGGAAGGGGTTAAAACCTCTACAACTACTTACCTGAATCCAGCGTCGATATCCCTCGGGGCTGGGTCAGGTTCCGCCCACGCTCCTCCATCGGAGAACTAAAGCACATATTCAATGCTTTCCTATGGGGAAAATCTGACGCTGGAGGTCCGTGAGGACGTCCAGCGTCAGATAACCGACCAAAGGTTGGTTTGGATTTCGGAAGCCTTCTAGTGGCTGTCTGTTAGACAGCCACAGAGGGCAGACTTTGTGCTGCAATGTAAACACTGCAGTTCTCTGGATATAATAAATAGTGTTATCCAACTATTGAAAGTGGGTCTGTCACTTTCAGGACTCTTTATATATTTCACAAAGATCCCAGAGGGTGACATCTCCAGTTAGGGTCTGCTGTTACTGACATGTCATCTGCCAGGAGCCATGTCAGTGCTGTACTTTCACACATCACGAGAGTACAACACTGAGGTATTGTAACAGCTGTTAGGATTGGAAACCTCAGGTTTGACCCTATTTTGTCTTATTGTCTTTGGATTGCATGGGAAATTGAATGAAATTCAAACCCAGTCATCATGAGTATTTCATAAAGATTATATCTTGTTATGAAATACTCAGAAGTGACAGAGCCATTTTAATGGGATGGATTGCATATTGTTCAGAAGCAGATGCTAGTGGAAGATACCAGATAGAATATCTTCAGTATGTCAGCTAAAGATTATTTCATAGATGCAAATTTATCTAAATCCATCAAGACAACGTTGAAGATTGTATTGCATTGTATTAAGAGAACACCAAAGTCACCAAAACAACTCTAGCTTAACAAAGCATTTTTAGTGAACAGATCATGCTGCTGCTGTCTCTCTGCTCAATTCTCTTCCATTTGGGAGTGAAAACACTTTGTTTTGCAGCCCTACGCATACCTTTAACCTATTCAAGCAGTACAAGAATATTCAAATGTATTATGTGAATTCATAACACAATAATACTTGTACACTTAATAGTGGGCACCATGCTCTATGGAGATGGATTATAATTCAAACTACATTACTTTTAGGTCTCTCACATGAATGTTTGAACATTTAGACATTATACTGCACTCCAAACACTCACTAGAACGCCAGCCCCGATGGAAGCTACTGTATTCCTCTTCTCGCCCCAATCAATACACTCAGAGCATCGCAAGCTATCAAAGAACCCAGACATCTTGAAGAGAGCTGTAGACGAAATGTAACAAGTTTCAAATTAGTCTAAATATGGAATCCTATAATAAGAGATATGTGAAATGGGTCATTCATTATTTAGACAAAAGGGTTTATTACTAAGCATCAAATTGTATAGAACTGGAAAATTTAAAGAATTGCAGAATATTTTTCATTCTCTAATACACTGCAACTCAATATTCACAGTTATTTACTTGAACTGTGTTAGGAGTCCAAAAGTGTATTCCAAACACTATAGCATCCCTATGCACTTAAAATGAACGCCAAGTAAAGGGTTAAAAAACAAAAACAAAAAAACCCTTAAACAATTACCTGATTCTAGCACCCAGGTCCCTTGTTTCAGGAGTTAAACTCCATGAAACTCCCGGAAGTGCTTCAACAGTGTTTTACATAGCAGGGTTTAGGGGACAGGAACACTACATCCAGACCACTTTAATGAGATGAAGTGGTCTGGGTGCCTATAGTATCCCTTTAAAGGGCACCTATAGTACCTAAAACAACTTTAGCTTTTTAAAAAGAGCGTTTAACATCATATATACATTGCTAGCAGTTTTGCTAACACAATGTATAGCCTGAGAGAGAAACCTATTTGAAGGGATACTATAACTGCTAGGAATACAAAGCTGTATTCCTGGCACTATAGCTCACTCTGCGGTCAAAAAGGGTTTAAAACCCTTTATTTACTTATCTGATCCCAGCATCGATGACCCACGTTGCTGGGTCGCGGCTCATCCTCTTCTGACGTCCCGTGATGAGAGTGCGCATGTGTAGAAAATGCTACACGCGCATTAGACTTTCCCATAGGAATGCACTGAATCAATGTTTTCCTATAGGGAAAGATCTGACGCTGGATGTTCTCATGCAGAGCATGAGGACGACCAGCATCAGTTACCGGAACAGGAAGTCAGTTACTGGATGCAGGAAGTGCCCCCGGAATCCTCTGGGAGACAGGCACTGGAGGCAGGGCAGATTTAGTGCTGCATTGTAAACATTGCAGTTTCTCTTCACTAAGTGCAATAGGGAAACTGCACCCAGACCACTTCAGTATGCTGAAGTGGTCTGGGTGCCTATAGTGTCCTTTGAAAAATAGGCTTTTCTCCCACCTGCCAATTAACACACTGGCAGATACTGAATACAAAAGAATGAACTGATAAAGTAGAACAGAAGAGACCCCTCTAACCACAGTGCATGTGCCTCTAGCCAGTGCTACTAGTGCCGGCATTGGAGTGTAGGAATGGAGTGATATGATATTGTTCCATTCAGAAGCCGACATTCTGGCAACGAAGCCAGCACGTTGGTGTCAAGGAGGAGGTTTTTCCTGCTTGCGGAAGGATTTGCAAGCAGGTCAAATCAGCAAATAACACAGGAAAAGTGTGGGTGGAGTGGAGAGCAGCAGAGGGGGAGTATGGTTAGGCCTGCCTAATGTGATCGCAGTAGGAAAAAGCAAAGCCAAGGGTAAGTGGCATAACTGATTTAGGTGGTTTCCATTTGACCTACTTTGGTCTTAACTCCTTAAGGACCAAACTTCTGGAATAAAAGGGAATCATGACATGTCACACATGTCATGTGTCCTTAAGGGGTTAAAGGGATACTCCAGGCACCCAGACCACTTCTGCCCATTGGAGTGGTCTGGGTGCCAACTCCCACTACTCTTAACCCTTCAAGTGTAATTATTGCAGGTTTTTTTTATAAACTGCAATAATTACCTTGCAGGGTTAACTCCACGTCTAGTGGCTGACTACTAGACAGCCACTAGAGGGCACTTTTGTGTCCCTAGCACAGGAAACCTGTGCTAGAGCGTCGCTGGACGTCCTCACGCTGTGAGGACCTCCAGCATCGTTCATTTCCCCATAGGAAAGCATTGAAAAGCATTTTCAATGCTTTCCAATGGGGAGCTCTAATGCGCATGTGCAGCATTGCCGCGCATGCCATTAGGTTTCCCCGGCCGGTGGGCGGGAACAGTCTCGCCCACCGGCCAACGTATTACAGAGGAGGAGCGGCGGCTGAGGAGGAAGCAGCGACGTGGGACCTGCAGTGCCAGGAAAACGGATTGTTTTCCTGACACTGGAGTTTCCCTTTAAGAGTCTGTTCTGATCCTGTGTTTTTTTTGAAAATTAACTATTCAGACACTAAAAGCAGATAGCTTGCTGCTTTATATGTGTTAGTGTGTGCTTTTTTTTTTTATTTTCAAAAAGTGAACATTTCAATAGAAATTGGAACTTTAGTAATTAACCTGGTTACTTCCACAAACAAGTTTACTCTTGTTTGCAAGGAACACTATTATAACATATACATAAACCACTAGTCAGTGAAAGAGCTAGGATGTGGTCATGTAGACTTCACATGACATTGTGATTGTCAATATGATTATGAATGTTTTTTTCTTAAGTTTTTTTTTTTCTTTAAACTACATTCCAAGAAAAGTTTAAAACTCAGCTATGACAATGACACCTCTATAATGTGATCATGTGACTTTTTTGTTTTTAAAAGTTTTACTTTAGAAGTTGAGCTGTGTGCAGTGCTCAAAGTAAATGCTGCATATAGCCTTTTAAATTAATTGAGAAAAAGGCGGCTGAGCGCATGATTCTGGATTGGCAAGTTGTCAAAAAAAAACAAAACACAGGATCAGAACAGACTCTAAAAAAGGTCTCCCCGTGCCAACTGTGTTGCTGGGCTTTGCCAGCAGGAATCACAGAGTAATCAGTATGCTTGATTTTTATCATTACGGAGATATTCCTGTAAGCTGAAATCAGCCAGTAGATGGTGGCAACACACCATTCTCTATTGTTTTCAAGAAACACGATAGTCACAAGAACCCTACAGCATAATGTAGTGGTTCTGGTGTCTATGGCCTGTCCCTACAGGCTTTCATTTCATTTCCACTATACCAAATCCCTATGCACATTTAAATAACAAGGTTTTTTTAGTATCACTCTAATGGCCATTAACGTGTAAGCTCGCCTACCATGTCAAGGCAAACCTCTTAGGTGAGTCCTACACTAACAAAACACCTTGCTGTTTTAAGCTAAAATCTCTAATGACACAGAAAGGGGTATTTTTCGAAATCCCTACCTACTTATTGTTCTCTTTACCCTTTTGTTCCTGAAAGTGTTTGCAATAATCTAATTATCCCCCCCCTTATAATATTGTAAAGTGCTACAGAATATGTTGACGCTATATAGATGCCAATAATAATACTGGGGTGGGCAGCAGCACTGTAACATGGCTGTGTAATAGAAAAGCAAATACAAAAATTAAAGGACCACTATAGTGCCAGGAAAACATACTCATTTTCCTGGCACTATAGTGCCCTGAGGGTGCCCCCACCCTCAGGGTCCCACTCCCGCCGGGCTGGATAGAGAGGAAAGGGTTTAATCTTACCTTTTTTCCACCGCCGGGCGGGGAGCTCTACTCATCCTCTTCGGCTGAATGCGCATGCGTGGCAGGAGCTGCGTGCGCATTCAGCCAGTCTCATAGGAAAGCATTCATAATGCTTTCCTATGGACGCTTGCGTCTTCTCACTGTGATTTTCACAGTGAGAAGCACGCAAACGCCTCTAGCGGCTGTCAATGAGACAGCCACTAGAGGCTGGATTAACCGTATTATAAACATAGCAGTTTCTCTGAAACTACTATGTTTATAAAAAAAAAAAAGGGTTAATCCTAGAGGGACCTGGCATCCAGACCACTTCATTAAGCTGAAGTGGTCTGGGTGCCTAGAGTGGTCCTTTAAGCCCTGCGCTCAAACTCCCACTACTCCTGGAAGGCAGGAATGACTATAGTACACATCAACACGTACACATAGAAAAAAGGTACTTGCACATTATACCACATAGCACTTAACTTTATTTTTTAAATTATAATTATACTCCAATTCACCTGTCATGCTTAATTTTGTATGTTTGACAGCAATGTTACAATGCTGTCACTCACCCCGTATTCCGTATTAATAGTTAATAAGTATGTAGGGGGTTTAAAAAAAAAAAAAATACCCCTCTCTGTATCATAAGACAGAACCCCTAGTATGATGGTGTACACATAACTATAGCTTTAGAACAAAGACAAAGAATATTACTAACATTCTATATAACAATGAAATTACTAATCAGTAACGAAGAGCTGTGAAACAAAACACTAGAACACCTTCCGTTAATAATAAGTACAAATTAAACTACAAAAGACGATGATTAACAATCGTACCTTTCAGACCCGACCCAGTAATAAACACTAGTTATAGCTTCACACGCATGCTCTGAGTAACCACTTCCTGTCATGGGTTCAGTCACGTGACTGACGAAGCGGCCATACTGGCAATGGGAAAACAAAGAGAGCAGTATGAGAGCAGCCATATTAGTAATGGCAAAACAGAGGGAGCGGCCATATTGGTAATGGCAAAACAGAGGGAGCGGCCATATTGGTAATGGCAAAACAGAGGGAGCAGCCATATTGGTAATGGGAATGAAAAGCAATAGGCAAAATGTGAATGAGGAAAATAAAACGCCATAAATTCCATAGAGTGCGTTTTTGTGGCCCATAATCAAAGTGCAATACTGAATTGGGTATCTCTCTGAGTATTTTGAACAATGGCACATGGTTATCTGTGGGTCATCCCTCATGGCTGTCTGAAAGAGGGTTTTAGTGTTTGCTGCTGGTGTGCTCCTCTATAAACAGAAACGCCTTGGAATTAACTAGTGTAAACAGAAGGAAGAAACATTCACTTACACTGCCCTCTGTAGGGACATTTGTATAGTGTGTCCAGCTTTGGGAAACAACCTGGAATGATTGAGTACAGGTAAATATCTCCTTCCTCCATACAAGGGTTGGAACTCCAGTTCTTTAAAGAGTCAAATATTTTGTATTTTCGAGATTCAAAGTGTCTAATCCAATATATTTTTTTTAAATACTGTATTTGATATAGGTGTTTACCTTTTTACATAAGAACAATTTTACACAAGAAAGACACAAAAGGGGATATCTGTTTTTAAAATTCTGAAGCACGTAATTAATTGCCCAGGCATGCAATATTGTTAATTATTATATAGTACAAGTATATATTTACAGAACTTTAGAATATTAAAAACAGGTAATAAAACCGCAAGTACAAAATACTGCCTTTTGCAAAGCTGAAGACCAAGCAGTTGATTCTGAAATTCTACTATAGTTACAGCATGGATATTTTAGCCTACATTTTGCAATTTGTATTTTAATGGGTTACAACTTTTTATTTAATGAATAAATCCCATGCTGGGTCACACCTGCTTCACTCAGTATTACAGTGCAATCTATGTTTGTCTGCTGGCTCAGTCACTGTGCACATTATTTCCTTTGTATAATGTTGTGTATTTAGACTGGAATGGACCAGTTACCTGATATGGATCCCACTTAGGACTATAAAACCATAAGTTAATATTTTCAGACTAGTGAACATCATTTCTGCACCATTTTCATTCTGGCTACTGAGTCTGACCTTGGCTTAGATTTGGTTTTCTGCTATCACCAACTCTTGACTTTTCCTGTATCTATAACACACAACACAAGCATATTGTCCTTCCAATAATGTCACAGGTGATTATATACATCAAGCATGTCAAACTTGCGGCCCAGCGAGCCGCGAGTTTGACATGCTTACTTAGTCAGAGTAGGCACCTGCTCTTCCCACATTGCAGGTGCCTACTGTGCTAAAATTTATGCAGCCGGGGAGGAGAGGTCTCTGGCAGCGGCGAAGGAACTCAGTCTGTTCTTCCTGCTCCTCACTGCTACCTGGCGCACTACCTCTGTAGTGATGACAGGTGCCGGAATGACATTCCAGGACCTGGCATCACTAAACTGCGCACCTGTGGGAGCAGTGAGGAGCAGGTAGGAGACCACCCGAGAGAAGATCCCCACTGTACCCCAGGGAGAGGCCTCACACTAGCTCCTAAAGGTAGGGAACAATAAATAAAGTGATGTGAGAGTGTGCAAGAATGTGTCTGTCAGTATGTGTGTATGTCTGTTAGAGAGTGTGTGTCTGTCAGTGTTGTGATGGCCGCGGCTGGACAGTGCATGGAGGCACACCATATCACATTCCGACATGATGTCAACGTGCTCCACATTCACAGGGTTTCAAGGAGTAGCGGGAGGATCGGCTTTGGCACAGGGTGCGAACAGCGCCCAGGGCCGCCACCAGTAATTTTGGGGCCCCTAACTGAGCTCAGGGTCTGGGCCCCTGGGGGCCCGCCTCCAAAACCGCCCACAGAGACCCCCTCCAAATCCCGCCCACAGGAATACACACACAGACACAAACACATTCACTGATACAAAAGGACACACACACACACACAAACACACACACTGATACATACTAATAGACACACATACTGATACGCCTATAGGCATACATACTGACACACACATACTGAGACATACCCACATATACAGACACACAGGCGTACATAGTGACAGACACATACTAACATACATACAGACACACATGCATAATGACATACAGACAGACATTCATACTGGCATACATACATTCATACAGACAGACAGACATACACACATTCATAATGACATGCAGACATACATACACTGACATTCATACACACATAATGACATACATGCATACATACATTCATACAGACAGACATTCATACACACATAATGAGATAGACATGCATACAGACAGACATGCATCCATACATACACACATTCAGTATGCAGACATACATACACTGACATTCATACACACATAATGACATGCAGACATACATCCATACATAATGACATACATACATACACACAGACATAGACATACATACAGACAGACATCCATACATAATGACATACATACATACACACAGACATAGACATACATACATACACATACACACAGCTCATTTTCCAGCCACCCTATTGTCTCTTACCTTGTCTTTGCAGGAGGGTGGCTGGGGCTGATGGGACTAGGAGTTGGCTGGCTCTCCCTCTTCATTGCCGGGCGCGCACTCCTCCAGCGCGCTGGGAGGAAGTGGTCACTTCCTCCCAGGAGCATTTGCGCTGCGGCGGCATTTAAAAAAAAAAATTTTTTTTTAAGGGGCCCGGTCGCGCTATACCACGGCCACAGCGCTGACCGGGCCCCTGAACATATGTGACCCATCGGGTGGCCCTAAGTGCATGGGCCCCATCAGCAGTTCCGTCGCTACATGTGGCCGTGGTTGTCACCCCCTGGTGGCGGCCCTGACAGCGCCATTGCGGGTATACCAGAGGCTGGACTCTGGAGTCACTTACTGGTATCGGCAATGGAAGTGGAGTTCGCTTGTTGGCTAATATATATATTTTTTTTAAACAAGTGCCGGGGACTGGGATTTAGTATAGAGAGGTGGATGCTGTTTTTTTTTTTTATATATATATATATATATATATATTTTGGACTTTTCAAAACAAACCTACGTTTCTATGCAAATGTAATTTTTTTTTTTTTGGCGGCCCACATAAACTTAAAGGGACTCTCCAGTGCCAGGAAAACAATCTGTTTTCCTGGCACTGCAGGTCCCCTCTCCCATACCCGGTTGCTGAAGGGGTCAAAACCCCTTCAGTGACTTACCAGAGGCAGCGATGATGTCCCTTGTCGCTGCTTCTGTGTCCGCCCACGCTCCTCCCCTTCATCACGTCAGCTGGCGGAGGAAACCTAATGAGCATGCCCAGCTTTAGACCTCCCCATAGGAAAGCATTGAAAATGCTTTTCAATGCTTTCCTATGGTTATTTTAGCGACGCTGGAGGTCCTCACATAGCGTGAGGACGTCCAGCGACGCTCTAGCACAGAAAATCTGTGCTATAATCCCTGAAGTGCCCACTAGACAGCCACTAGAGGAGGAGTTAACCCTGCAAGGTTTATAAAAACTGCAATAATTACACCTGTAGGGCTAAGGGTAGTGGGAGTTGGCATCCAGACCACTCCAATGGGCAGAAGTGGTCTGGGTGCCTGGAGTGCCCCTTTAAACCTTGTTTATTTGGCCTTTGAGTTTGACATGCTTGATATACATGGACATCATAATGCATGGTCACCTTTACAAAGATCTATAAACCTTCTTTCATAGACTCAGACATGCACACTTTCTAATGCCTGGAGAGGGCCTTAAAATGGGAGTGAAATGTTTTTAGAAGTCAATGAGCCTTGTAGCAGATAACAAGTGCAAGGGTGGGAACAGTGGAAGGCTGATGCTCAGTTATGAAGTGCCCCTGGCACTAGAACGGCCTTTTGGGCCAGCCCACCCAGTGAGCATTTCAACGGTATCAGGGCTTACAAGAGGCTTGGACCAGTGTTAAAAGTGTTTCATAGAGGGTAATTCTTTTGTGAGAAGTCTGGGTTCAATCAGAAGGCCTCTTTTGTAGGACTTGAACCCATGAGAGGCCAATGCCTAATTGGCTTCCAGGCATGGTTGAGGCCTAGTGAGAAGACTTCCCAGAATGAGGGGAATCGTGCGCAGGACCTTGTGGTTTAGGGCAGTGATTCTCAACCTAGCACACTAAATGTCCAGGATTTAGGTAGCTCCCAATTCTGTTCCATTGGGAAAACCTGCACCATTGGTATGCCTTGTGACCTTAGATGTGAACCACCTGTGTAGAGTATTCATACTGGTAGTGTATGGCTGCTTGTACTGCTAACCGTAATATTTTAGCAAACGTGTTGCCTTTATCAAGTTTAAAGACAGTGGTGCTTTGCAAAACCTTTGGGATTATATTTGTGCACCATTTAAAGGGATACTATATGCATCAAAACAACTTTAGCTTAATAAAGCAGTTTTGATCATGTCCCTGCAATCTCACTGCTGTAATACATACAGCCTGCATGAAACCTTTTTTCATTTTCAATCAGATGTTAAGTTGCTTTAGAAGTTTGTATTGCCTGCTCTGTGAATTCAACTTTAATCACGCACAGGAGGCTCTTGCAGGGTCTAGACAGTGATTAACAGAGCAGGAGTTAAATAATTCAAAACAGAATATGCAATAAAGGAAGATTTATTCTTAGAACATTACAAATCTCTTTGCAGAAAGTGTAAGTCACATGCAGGAAGGTGTGACTAGGGCTGTATAAACAAAGTGATTTAACCCCTAAATGGCAGAGAATTGAGCAGTGAGACCGCAGGGGCATGATCTATACACCAAAACTGCTTCATTAAAGGAACACTATAGTAACCTAAACAACTTAAGCTTAATGAAGCAGTTTTAGTGTATAGATCATGCCTCTCAGGTTTTACTGTGTGGGAAAAAAAAACAGGTTTCACTTTCAATCAGATGTAATTTACCTTGAACAATTTTATAGCTTGCTCTGTAAATTGAACTTTAATCACATACAGGAGGCTCTTGCAGGGTCTAGCAAGCTACGAGCATAGCAGGGGATATGAAAATCTAAATTAAACAGAACTTGCAATAAAGAAAGAATAAACTTTAGATGACTCTTTACAGGAAGTGTTTATGGAAGGCTGTGCAAGTCACATGCAGGGAGGTGTGACTAGGGTTCATAAGCAAAGTGATTTAATTCCTAAATGGCAGAGAATTGAGCAGTCAGGCTACATGGGGCATGTTCTATACACCAAAACTGCTTCATTAAGCTAAAGTTTTTTTGGTGCCTTTAGTGTTCCTTTAAGTATTTTTGTTTGTATTTTGTTTTACCTTGCGTGTGCATTAACTTGCTATACGGATGTATTTGATAAAATAAGTGTGGTTTTAAATTGAATAACTTTTTCTGTGCATATTTACATATGTGGCAAGTGGTACTGTAAATAATATTTATGAAATAATCATATTGACTGTGTTAGAATTTGACTGAAATTTCAACCCTATCAAATATTTTACTAAGACATAGCAGGTACTAATTGTTTCGGTATTTTTCCTACACCTGACACTTCTTGACACTGAGCTACCGCCGTCAAGAAGTGCACATCCACCAGCAATCACCAGTAATGGCTGCAGGAAAATTGCCTCTTTCTTTGAAGGATCCATCGGTTCCTCTCAGCTGAAGCGCTAGAAGCAGAAGAGGACCATCCGGAAATGGATAGTGGTGTTCATGAGGGACAGGTAAGGTAAGTAGAACTCACCTTTGTCCCCCCACAGCGACAGTGTCACCGTCAGTGGTCTTTGCAAATTCAGTTGCGCTTTAACATGTGCAATATGCATATAGGACTGTATTTATCAAGGTTATTCAAATAAAACTCCTCAGATTTCCTGCGCTTTTAAGTCTGGTGTAATACCTACCAAGACTATTTGCTCACTACGATGCGGTTGCAGCCTTTTGCACTCAGACTGGATTGATATGAATTTGCTGACAGCTGGTCCTGAGCCAGTTAAAGTGACACTCCAGGCAGCCAGACCACTTCTGCCCATTGGAGTGGTCTGGGTGCCAACTCCCACTACCCTTAACCCTGCAAGTGTAATTATTGCAGATTTTTCTATAAACTGCAATAATTACATTGCAGGGTTAACTCCACCTCTAGTGGCTGTCTACTAGACAGCCACTGGAGGGCACTTCCGGGATTCGAGCACAGATTTGCTAGAGCGTCGCTGGACGTCCTCACGCTGTGTGAGGACCTCCAGCGTCGCTCAATTCCCCATAGGAAAGCATTGAAAAGCATTTTCAATGCTTTCCTATGGAGAGCTCTAATGCGCATGCGCGGCATTAGGTCTCTCCAGCTCGCACACCGGCCCACTAATGAAGAGGAGGAGCGATGGTGACCCGAAACCACCCAGGAGCTTGTTAAACCATATTGACACCTTATAACGATTCTCACCGCAGTGTTCTAATTGTTTGTCTGGGTGGCTGCCATTCGAATGCATGAACACGTGGTGGCGGCTATCTTGTTCACACGAACGCAGGCAGCGTGGTTTGGTAGTCGAGTGCATGGAACTAAAATGGGATACACTATCTCGCGAACACCGCTGAACTCCCAGCATTGCCTACATTCGGTCCTTCACATTGTGGAAGAACACTGTTCGATAGAATCGTTCAAATGGATAGGGTGAACAAGCTCCACGTTACAATTATGGACTCCGGCAGTTTGTTAGTTTTTAAACTCCCGAAGTTGACCACTTTTCTTATGGAACTATTTTGGTCAGTAGCGGTCGGTCAAAAGTTGACTTCCTTGGAAAACCTTAACCCATGAACCACTGAGTGATTTTTAGATTTGTTGGTCACTCAGATCGGGGCTATCCAAGGATGTGACTCTTGTGGGTTTTCCATGGACTCTGGGGATACTTTTGGGGTGTTTGTAAATTGTATACTTTTCTGTACCTTGAGATAATTGAGTTTGTACAGTTCCTGACTCAATTATCTCTCAGACTCAGGGGAGGAGTTTACTGTTTGTATAAATTTTGTGACTGTGCTCCCATTAAACAGATGACTTGTGGGGGGAGAGGGGGTGCTATAGAACTCTGCAATGACCCATGAATCAATTGGTGGGGGAGGGGGGGGAAGGGCGGCATATAATGCATTGCAATAAACAAATTTAATCTGCAGTGGTTAAAGTCATGTATACACAATTGCAGAGTATGACTGCATACCCTGGTAATTGAGTATAAACAATTGTTGGCATGAAGGGGTAAATTGTTGGCAGGGATTTAAGGGATACTTTAAGCACCAAACCCACTACACTAAGATGCATATTCATTGTCCTTTTGGTCTGGTAATGTAAAACATTGCCATCTTAGAGAAAGAGTCTGAAAGCCACTAGTGGCATTAACACATGAAGAACTTTTAAAATAAAAAAAATAAAAGCAACTTTACTATGAAGATGAGATTTTAAAAAAATCCACTCCTAGAGGAAATGTAATATGAATTTTATTTAGTTTAAAAAGTATATAAAGTCGAGTAAAAACAAGCATTGCAGCAAGGGGTACTCAGTGTCAGGATAAGTGTTGGCATAGTGCTGAGAGGGGATGTCTCACTAGTGAGAGGGTTAGTAGAGATCTAAAAGGGTTCTTAAAGGATTATTCGAAGCACCATGACTATACCTGGAGTCTGTATGTACAGCATTTAGCTATGAGACGCAACAGATACAGAGTTTAACCCCTTTACTGCCAAAGGTATAACCCCACCTGGCAGCATCGCTGGTGTCATTAGACAGATCGGAACAAGAGTTCTGGGCTCACTAATATTATTTGGCAAACTGCTTTGCAATTGGCAAAGATTCAAGGGGTCTATAGTATTCGAATTGTTGGGAGTTCAGTATTTGAATACTCTTGTCCTAGAGTCCAGGCATATTTATCTTGCTAATCTGCAAAACTCAAAATATTTTAAATATTTTATTAGTGCAAAAACTAAACTCCAAAGGTTGATAAGAACACACACACACACACACACACACACACACACGTGTATGTACACATCTGACAATAAAATTAAACATGCAGCCTTGACTTAACTTTGGTCAGATGAAATGTACAAACCCTCCTTAAAAATGACTTGCAAAAATGGTGTTAAATTAAAATATTTATTTTCATTGGAGTGACCTTTTAAGCAAGATACACTTACTGTGTTCTAAAGCATTCTTGTAGTTTGCTAATATATGTGTGGATATATAGTGCTCAGGGCTGGCATTAGTATAAGGACTAATGACCCATGCCCATTAAATAGGACATTGATCCTAAAAATTAACTTACTGATAGCAAGCTAAGCACAAATCCTCTTGCTGCTTCTAACCGTCAAACATCCTCCAGTCACCATGTGGCATATGTACTTTCTACTACATCCATCTTCTCTGCCTCAGTCTGTATACCAGGAAGGAAGTGGAAAAGTAAATCCTGATAAGAGAAGGTTCACGGTTTGTGATTAGTGAGAGAGAGCTGTTGGGTCTTGTTTAATGGACAGACAGACTGAACTGATTTGTAGGAGAGAAAGATTGACATAGGGTATTTATAGACTTAAAATGTATCCTGCAAGTGTTCCTCTAGTACCAGGTCAACCAGATACAAGACACTATGGCTGTTAGTGTTTTCTGTCTGTAAGATTCTGTAATTAGGCCCAAGAGCACCATAATTGTCAGCACCAGTCCTAAAATAATCTTAAGTCCATGACTGGTATTTCCTGTAAGAACTTAAAGGGACACTCCACTGCCCAAATACAAAATCACTGTTTAGTAAATATACCCCAATGAAAACTTGCATGCATTTAATTATGTATTTTTCATTGGAGTTATATCTAAAAACAGTTTGCAGAACCTTTAGTTCTCGTGTCTGCTGCCTTTGCAAGCTCTCCCCTTCTAACCCAGCCCAGACTTTCTGTGGCTGTCCATCACAGCGCAATGAGAAGTCTTTGTAAGTCAGGTGCTCTGGGCAATTGCTGCCTCTTGAGGTCAGCTGCATAGAGCTAACAAAACCAGGAAGTAATATTACCTGTTGTCTGCTTGAAAGCCAGAAAACTAAAAAATTACACATTCTTCACATCTAAAGCTTTTTAGCAAACTAAAGTTGGTTAGGAGTCTGAAGTGACCCTTTAAAAAGAAAACAAAACTGAAAAAAAAACCTCCAGTACAACACACGTAAGATGGAATAATTAGTATTTTATTTTTTAGTACAAAATGTTTTTCAGAAATCTATATTGATAGTAACAGGAGCTAACCCAGCTATATATTTCCATCCCTATTCTGAAAAGGAATTTCTAAAGACAAACTGGAATGTTATCAAAGAGTAAGTTATTTAATTAAATAACGTCGAGAAGTTGCAGAGCTGTAGCAAGAGAGATCAGGATAACCCCGAAGAGTCCTATATAACCATAAGCGCCTTTCATTCTTTTCTGTGGATCTGCAAGTAGAGCAACAGAATTAGAAACACAGTTCAGGAACAGTCACATACATATCATGTAGTGTGGAAAATAAATGGTGCATTATCACCCCACAAGTAATATATTTAATTGATATTTGGGATAGTATTACCTAAAATACAAAAGATTATCTATGTAGCAGATGCGAATAAAAAATAAATAAAAAATTATTATTTATAAATATAATATGCACTAAGGTGTGTCAGGATTATCCATGTATTGTTGGTGAATAGTTGAAGCCCAGTAGACTCGTCAACATTTCAGTGGCGTGTTCCATGAGCTTATCTAGTAAGCTCAAACAGACAAACATAACTTTTAGACATCCCACTATTTGCTTGATTACCCAAGTAAATGATTGTATTGTTATACTGTCCTGATTCTGTCTCCTCTAGCCAGTATAACATGTGTACCATAAGTAGGTTCTCACCTCCTGTGTAATATCCCCAGGCGTAGGAAAAGCGGCTGGTTACCCAAATAGCACCCAATACCGATGCAGACAACTGGGGGAGGAAATATAAAAATAACAGCATTAGCTCGGTTACAGGAACAGCATTAAAGACACAAGAGAATTGGCAAATGCAGTCATTCTATCTGTAGTAAATATAAATAATCCAAAGACAAATTAACACAGAGAATTGTAAGCAGGCTTGCAGTTAGCATGTCATATTTGAAGTCCAAACGGGGCAACGTTTCCACATCCCTTCAGCCCAGTAAATGCTAATGAAGCTTTTACTGATGTGAGAGCAGAGGAGTACATTGCTTCTGTGTACAGAGCAAAGTCATTATCCTTGTGACGCTTTAGGATTGACAAGCATGCTGGAGTGTTTACAAAAAACCTCCCCCCCACCCCAAAAAAAATTAAATATTTGGAACTTACACTTTATGTGAGATTTATCAAGTCAAAACAGGTATTATTTTAAGTGCAGAGTAGCAAATTATGAGCTGCATTCTATTGGTTTCCATGGTAATTGTCACCTTGATAAGTCCCACCTTGTACATCATATTTTTACACCTAATGTTGGCCAAACAAAAATCATACACCACCTGTTTTCACTAGCTGCCATCTTTGCAGACTACTATGTACTGCTATGTCAACTATTTACTGGCATGTCTGTTTAAAATAAACAGATTACTACTATGACATTTTGAATCAGCAATTCAAACAGCAATTCTACAATGTAATATTTCCCATTCTTCTCTTTTTATACATAATTTATCAGTAAACAAACAAATAGATAAATGGAAAAGCCCTTTCAATTAGAATGGGATTAATTCACTAAACACTAATTTTAGAAAATCGAAAAAAATGTAGTCTAAAATAACAGATTTGAAAAAATCTCATGCTGGACTTTACCTACAGAATTGCTAGTTTAGTCTGAATCATGCAATTCAGTTTTTAATTTAGCACCATGTACTGTTTAGTGAACCTAGTTGGTCTAGATCAGCGTTTCGCCAAATGGTGTTCCGCCAAAAGTTTAAAAAATAAAATGGCTGCGGGCGGCGAGGGAGCAGTGAGCTCCCTGCTCAGATCCCTTGCGCGCACTGCAGTGATGCTGGAGCCGGAATATGGCGTCACTCCGGCATCAGTAAGAGGCGTGCAAGGGAGCTGAGCAGGGAGACCACTGCTCCCTCGCCGCCAGCCACTCAGCAGCCCCTTTGGACCCCAGGGACTTCATGCTCAGCACACCAGAAGCCCAACTGGACCCCATGGACTGCATGCCAGCACTCATAAAAAAGGTATGGGAGCTGGGTGGAGTTAATTATGTAAAAAAAAAATAATAATAAAAAAAAAAAAATGTATGTGTGTGTGTTAGGGAGTTTGTATGTCTGTCAGTGAGAGTGAATGTGTGCTTGTCAGTGAGTGTATGTGTTTGTCAGTAAGAATGTATCTGTTCTTGCCAGTGTCTGTAAAATAGTATGTGTGTTTGTCAGTGAGAGTGTGTCTGTCAAAGAGTGTGTATGTGTCAGTGTGTGTGTTTGTATGTCAGTGTGTGTATTTGTGAGTCAAGGTGTGTGCCAGTGTGTATCTGTGTGTCAAGGTGACACATACACAGACACATACAAACACAGATGCACACACTTTGACACACAAATACAAACACCTTGACACACACATACATACACACACACACACAGTGTTTCAAGGTGTGTGTATCTGTGTGTCAGTGTATCAACATTGTGGAACTCCCCCACACACACACTATGTCAAAGGGTTCAACACGAAAACATCAATTGGGAACCCCTGGTCTAGATCCACCTCCCACTGTATGAACAACATTTAGAATTTCTACAGATTATAGTGAATCAGAGCAACTGTGCAATGTCAGATTAGAATTCAAACTAATCTGACATTGAATTGCAGCTTTTCATTTAGACAGGGTTTGTGGCATATTATTATATGATGTTCTAGGACACAAACAAAAATGCTGGATCTCACAATAATGTTCATACATACACAAATGCATTAACTTACTGGATATGCAAGACCTGCTATCAGTTGGAAGATCAACCATGCGGGATATGCTTCCAGTGTGTTCTGATGTGCTCTCTGGATACAATTAAACACATTCTCCTTGTCAGAGTACATCTGTGGATACTGCAATGAGAAAGGAAGGACTGTTAGAAAACGGATTGCGCAGTACCAACATAAAATGGAAACAAACTGGAGGTGTGTACTAAAGTCTAATTTAGATGTACATCAACTTGTTTGTTTAGCGAATAAACCTAAATATGTGGACAAAGTGGATGTGGATATTTCTGCAAACTCTCTAGAATTATCTGCATTTCTTTATATGGGTGCTTAATTCCTATTTAAATACTCTGTTGCATTTTTCATATACACAAACAAAATAGCCCCACTACTTGGAATTCTCTAAGAGATATAGAGATATATATATATATATATATATACACACACACACCCCCCCCCCACATATGCCCTGTGCCTGCAGTGAGACAAATTAAAGCATTGCAATATTAGTTAAATACATTTGGCTAATAATTCTTCTCATAGAGAAATATAAAATCTTTATTAAAAGGTTTCTTGGCGGGGGCGGGGCCTGACCAGCATGGCGACTAGACGTGTTTCTGGGGAGCTCCCTGGAACGTAATGTACAAACTGAGATCCTGAGCTAATCCAGCGACTATACCTAAGCCTGATACCCCCTCTCAGTCCTATGACATGACAGAGGGACCGAGGAACACACCCTGCAGCCCTCTCAAGCGATCTGGTAGCCAAGATGCAATGGGGCCTAGTGGGCGCCCTGGGGGGGGAGAGGCGGCCGCTCTCTCGGACAGGTGCTGCCGGAGCCCCAAGCGAGCTACTGATACCCCGCTGCCCCCCCCTTTGGACCGGTGGGGGTTATCCCGGTCCCCACCCGGCAGGCTCTCGTGACCCACCAAGGAGCCACGGCAGTACCTTAGAAGCCGACATTACCGCCAAAGGTCTCCCTAAGATGGCGGACGCCGCGGTGGCCCTCACCCAAGGAGGAGTGGTATCCACTACTCTCCAGCGCCTGGATGCCCTCATCGAAGCATTTTGGGAGAAGCTAAGGGCCAAGCAGACACTACACGAGACCGTGATAACTCCTATGCGACCTACCTGTCACACACCAAGCAGCCCGACAGCACTCGCCAGAGGCCCGCTACGCCTGAGACGGCGGAGGAAGCGCCCACGTGCCGCAAAACAAGCCGCGCAACGAAAGGCAATGAGCAGACAAGCGGTGAGCCGTGGAGCTCCACAGCCATACAGCCCCTTGAAACACATGAACGACAAGCAGAGAGCCGAGGAGAAGGGAGAAAGGCACCTGCACAAGCGAGATCAGCAGCTACCACCTCCGGCTGTGGGTTTGCAAGCCCATGCTCTGTGGGACAGTAAATTCCCTATGATGGGGATAGGCTGACAACCAAGTCAAGCACTATGCTACATGCCATAACTATGGTAGCTGAATGCAAGCTTAACATGCTCTTTAGTAATCCCCAGTTCAAGAGTATTCCAGGTTAACCACTTACATTCCACTTTGTCATCCCTGTCTGGATCTTAATTTTAATGTGCATCTTATGTGTCCCCTCACTGACAACCAACATTGAGCTTATAAATGTACATCCACTCTCTGCATAGCTTAGCGGTTTCATCCACTCAGCATACAATGGCATCGTCCCCGAGCATGTACATATAGGCATAGGCCCCTTTATCTAATCCAGGTTATGCAAACCGTACTTAACCCCCAGTTTCACCCTGTTATTCTTCCACACACCAGCAGTGGCACTTGGTGCATAAGTAACAAAAAAGTGCAGACTAAGAGCTATTGCTTTGTCCTCCTAGGACATGTCTATGAAGTCACTCATGACAAAAATGTGACAGCTTATTCAATAGCTTGTTATTGCTATAGTTAATGCCTGATTATCTAAATACATTAGTCATCATGGCACAGAATCGCAGACTGGTGCAACTGTTTATACCATGTTACTGTATTATTCTTAAGTACAATCTCTAAATACCAAGGCGGTCAGGATGCTGCAAGCACGTTCGATCTCATACGGATTGTTATCACTTGAACATGTGTGCCTAGATTACTTTGTTATTTAAAACAAAAATGTGCAAATTTTTCCATGCCACAGTTTAACCTATGTTTAACCATAAATATACTCTGTTGTGGCGTATGTATGCGCCTTGTACTCACCTGCATAACAAAAATAAAGAATAAAAAAAAAAAAAAAATTTCTTGGCTGCTTTGTCCATATTGGCCATGCTAATAAAAGCTATCATACGATCAAGCAGGAATTACTTTGTCTTATGGGAAAAGCTTAAGTTGACAAAACGCGGCTCTTCTTCGCCCAACCGGGGAAACGCGCGTCGGGGCTCAGTTATACTTTGGACACCTTAGATCGTAGCCGATTCTGGCGTCATAGTATTCATACCACTCGACAATTCAGAGAAGGCAGGATCCCCCTTCTCTCTTGTTTCGACAGGTTCAGGTATGCTCGTTATATTACCGCACTGCTGTTATTAGGGAGAGTTCACTTTGGATGTCAAGCCCTGGTGTCCTTGAAGGCACAGAATAGAGGTATAGTAGCAGTGCCGTATGTCTTTTTTGCTCTGCCAACACATTATTTTGTATCCAAGAGACTATTAGCTTTGGCTTATATTCCCAACCCGGGTGCCCCTTTGGGCACAAGACAGTGATACTTACTTTTAGAGTGTTGGAGGACCACATGCATTAGTTTGGTGTAGATTTTAGAGTAAACTAACGTGGTAATATATGCTCATTTGATAGCACTATTTAGTTGAGGTTTCTCCTTGGCTTTGTATCTAGATAACCTGCTTGCAACATTGTTGCTCTTCAGTTTGCTAGGTTTCACTAGGATGCTGCAGGAATAGAGACTTTGCACAAGTTGCCCAACTTGTACACAGAGTTAGATCTAACAGCTTGTCACAGAGCCAATATTACCTTTAGACTTAATACCCTACAACAATTAAGATAAGGTTCTGTGTTTACAACATTTAGACTCACACCATTGGACATTCTTTGTATGTAGTTAGTTATATGTTTTATACTTGTATCTATGCACACTTGTAAATACCTTGGTTAACATGAGGTGTGTGTGTGTGTGTGTGTGTGTGTGTGTGTATCATTGTTTTCAAGTTTACTACTATATTTCTTATTCTTCTTAACAGATACCCAATAAAGATTTAAGTTTTTACTCCGTTTCCATCTAGTGGTCAGGGCACTTGTCCAATCCTTGTTCTTTAGATAACTGGGTTCATTTCACCCTCTGACCTTAATATATTTCTTCTCCCATCCTTTCTTTGACAAAACACACAATTGACTTTAACCCCTTAAGGACCAAACTTCTGTAATAAAAAGGTAATCATGACATGTCATGTGTCCTTAAGGGGTTAAAGGAACACTATAGGGTCAGGAACACAAACATGTATTTCTGACCCTATAGTGTTTTCTATAGGGCCCCCTTTTCCTCTTATAAAGGGTTAAAACTCACCTTATTTACAGAGGCGTGTGGATCTGCTGGCGCTGGCCCCGCCCCAGTTCTGCCTCCTTGCTTACATCATCAGAAGTTATAATTTAAGCCAATTCATTCGCTGAAATCAGCAAAGAGGCAGGATGGTGGTGGGGCCAAACGAATCAGCACCTCCGCATAGAGATTCGAATGCATCTCTGAGAAAAAAAACACACTGGGGACACTGAATGGCAGTCCTGCACACTATGCAGCACTGCCTCAGGAAGCACCTCTAGTAGCCATCTGAGGAGTGGCCACTGGTGGTGTCCCTAGACGGCAAAGTAAAAACTGCCTTTTTTCTGAAAAGGCAGGGTTTACATGAAAATGCCTGGAGGAAATGATTATATTCACCAGAACAAATATTAAAGGATCACTATAGGTTCAGGAACACAAACATGTATTCCTGACCCTATAGTGAAAACCCATGGGAAAAGCATTGGATTATCTAAAATCAGCAACAGGGCGGGGCCAAATGCCGTTTTGGCCAATCAGCACCTCCTCCTCATTAGAGATGCATTGAATCAATGTATCTCTGAGGAAAATTCAGCGTCCCCATGCAGAGCATTAGGACACTGAACGACTGGGCTGCTTACTGTGCAGCCTGGAGCCAGGAAACCCTTCAGTGGCCATCTGAGGAGTGACCACTTGGAGGTTTCCCTATGGGCAATGTATGCAATGTATTTCCCTATGGGCAATGTAAACACTGCCTTTTCTTTGAAAAGGCAGTGTTTACATGAAATTGCCTGAAGGGAGCTATTATACTCACCAGAACAACTACATTAAGCTTCAGTTGTTCTGGTGACTATAGTGTCCCTTTAAGCTGTAGTTATTTTGGTGGCTATAGTGTCCCTTTAAATAACTAAATTGGCATACTTTGATTGTTTCGTATAAAATGACAACATGACATTACATTGACAATGGACTATAACAGAAGGGAACTGCTGGCCATCTGGAGACGTTGGGATGAAAGGGGGAAAAGAAAGAGGAAAAAAAATATATATATATTTTAATATTAGATTGTATTAGACAAATAAGTTGGGAGTATTTATTAATAGTCCCTGACGAGGCTATTGGCCCGTTAGACTTTAGTACAAATGATAAAGGTTGTAAAGAAAGGACTAGTCTTGTTTTAATATAAGCCGTCCCAGCCAAGGTGTCCATTTTTTTTATCATACCATTTAATATTTTCCTGATAGATGTCCTTTTCCATGTTACATGGTTATTCAACCTGATTTACAACCTGTAGCCAAGAGGGGATATCCTGTTTAAGCCAGTATTTTGAGATTAGAACTTTTGTGGCCATCGTCAATTCAATTACATGAAATCTTCTCTATCATGGAAAATGAAATATGTTGAAATACAAAAAAACAGCTAGGAAATGGAATTCGAAATATTCCTTTACTAAGTCTTTAAGCTCTTTTAATACCCTGTCCACGGTGGTTTTGAGGTCACAGTCCCACTGTAAATTTTGTGCACAGGATACATATGCAAACTTGGTGGGGAAAACACCTGGATTAAATCTACCTGCCTACCCATCCAAAATAGAATAATGGACACAATGTATAGATTTCTATAGATCTCTATTTTTGCACACACTATGCGTAGTTGCTATGAATTTTGTGAGTCTGATGAGGGTATGAGGAACTGTTAAAATAAAACAATTCAGCTGCGCTACTGAGCACAATACTGATGCCGATAATACACAGTTTCCATGATTTATAGAGGTTACAGAATCATATTTGGAAGGTGCTCATTTCAGTTTCCAAATTTTACTAACTTATTGTTTTGTTGAATTTCAAATGCTATATATTGTTAGCTGATACTATTCAATACTACATATTGAATGTTTTCCCTGAATCTCTTTCTAGTCTAACAGGTTTCTACAGGGTTGTGTTCTGTAGTATTAGACAACTGGTTAAAAGTTCAATTACAGAATTTTCTGTGTAGTCAGCATGACAAGCATTTTTGCAACGTGAAATGAGTGGTTTTTAAGAAACACCAAGAAGAAGAGATCTAGAACTACAAAGAAACCTGTCACAAGTGAAAATTCAAACTAAATATTGTTAACCCCTTAAAGACTGGACTGTTTTTGCGATGTTGTACATTTGCGACCAGGCATATTTTTACACTTTTGTGGTGTTTGTGTTTGGCTGGAATTTTCCGCTCTCTCATTTACTGTTCCCATACAAATTATATATTGTTTTTTTCAGGACAAAAGGGGCTTTCTTTACATACCATTATTTATATAATCTCATGTATTTTAATTTAAAAAAAATAAAAAAATATGATGAAAAATTGAAAAAAATACATGTTTTTTGACTTTTACTTGAAAAATCTTTTACTCATCTACAAAAGCGAATTAAAAAAAACTGCTAAATAGATTCAAAATTTTGTCCTGAGTTTAAAAATACCCCGTGTTTACATGCTTTTTTGCTTTTTTTTGCATGTTATATGGCTATAGGTACAAGTAGAATATTGCAGTTTCAAAACATAAATTTTTTAAATTTATCAATAGTGACATTATAACACTATTATCTGTCATAAATCTCTGAATAACACCCCACATGTACATATTTTTTTTAAAGTAGACAACCCAGGGTATTCAATATGGGGTATGTCCAGTCTTTTTTAGTAGCCACTTAGTCGAAAACACTGGCCAAAGTAAGCATTCATATTTGTTTGTGTGTGAAAAAGTAAAAAAACTAAATTGAACGCTAATTTTGGCCAGTGTTTGTGACCAAGTGGTTACTAAAAACAACTGGACATACCCCATTTGCAATACCTTGGGTTGTCTTCTTTTGCAAATGGTATGCCATCATGGGGGTAATTCTCATTCCTGGGCCACCATACGCTCTCAAAGGCAACGTAACCAACCTGGCCATTTTCAATGTAAAAATATTTGACCCATATATTTGACCTTGTAACGTTCAAAAATGCTATAAAACCTGTACATGGGGGGTACTGTTTTACTCGGGAGACATCGCTGAACACAAATAGTAGTGTTTAAAAACTGGAAAACGTATCACAACAATTATATCATCAGTAAAAGTGCTGTTTGTGTGTGAAAAATGCAAAAAAAGTAACTTTCACTGACAATATCATCGCTGTGATATGTTTTACTGTTTTGAATCACTATTATTTGTGTTCAGCGAAGTCTCCCGAGTAAAACAGTACCCCCCATGTACAGGTTTTAGGGTGTCGTAGAGCGTTACAGGGTAAAATACAGTGCTAGCAAATTCAATTCTCTGGAATTTCGGCCTGGGTTGGCAGGCAGGTCCCTCAAATTGCAATCAATAAAATTACTGAATTATGTAAAAATATTACATAAATACACATGTAGAATTTAAATATATATGCATATTTATATATTTGAAGTCTACGTGTATATTTATATAATTATTTATGTAATTTGTATATGGACATATGTATATTTCTTATTATTTTTATATACATAGATATATATACAAATTCATTCTAAGTGTATTTTGATATAAATATATATATATATATTAATTTTAAAATACAGTTAGAATAAAATTTCATATAGATAATTTTTAATTTTTTTATTATTATTTTAAATTTATTTAATTTAAATTACTTATTTATATTTTATAATAATATATATATACACACAATATATATAGTTATTATATATTATATATAGTGCGTAATTTAATTATAAGTGTATTTATATTAATATAAGTACATATTAATATAAAAATACACTTAGTATGACATTTATATATATGATAGACATATATAGATATAATATGTCTATATATCATATTTATACACATATATAATTATTATTATTTTTTGTATTACCATTAACTTTATTTTTTTTTTTGATTTTACACTAGCAGGGAGACTGCCTGTCAGCACAGGCAGTCCCCCTGCAGGCAGCACTATGGACACCTATTGTGACCATGTGATCGCTGTGTTAAGCGATCACATGGCCACAGGGGTCCTAATCCAGTGTGGGGAGACTGTCTGGGCTGCAGGCAGTCTCCCCACAACCGGAGCAACGCTGATCGCCGCCGGGGGAACGACGGCGATCAGGTAAGTACCCCCAGACCGTTAGGACTGTTCAGGACCGTCATCGGTCCTCAAGGCAAAAATGCCGATGACGGTCCTGAACCGTCCTCAGTCGCTAAGGGGTTAAATCACACATGATACGATGTTACAGCAATGACTATCCTCCCTATAAAAGTAAACGTATTTTATTTAAACAAACCGGGTTATTCGTGAAAGAATGAATAATTAGGGATTCAAACAAAACATAGAAATAAAAATTGTGCTCAAATTCCTACTACTCCTAAATGGCTGAAATGGTCACGGTATTCAACAGTCCAAATTATATATCTATATATAATATATCTGCACTCACCTGAGCATACATTATAGGGTGCTGCTGGGGCCCATTTATATACCATACAAAATCCAACACATTCGCTCATTCACTAAACATCAATTTCATGTCTCACAGAATGCTATAGTTTTATTTAAAAACCTCACCTAGGCAAAAAAATGATGGGGGTTTAGTTACAGTATATGATCATACATTGCATAAGCCCGCCACCACGTCAATGTTACTCATTCTTGGCAGGTCCTACTCTAGCGGTCATTCGGCATAAGAGGATGAACTGCCAAGAATGAGGTACATTGACGTTGTGGCAGGCTTATGTAATGTATGATCATAGCATAACTAAATCCCCCGGTAATTATTTCTTAGGTAAGATGTTTTTAAATAAAACTATCATTCTGTGAGATTTGAAATTGCTGTTTAGTAAATCAGCGAGTGCGCTGGATCTTGTATGTTGTGTGGATATATATATTAAAAAATTGTTCTAGTTATCCAAATCAGCTATTGAAAGGGTTAAAAAAGTAAATACATGATTAGTGTAAATGGGCAGCGTATTCGTGAAATAATCTAGTTTGAACCTGTTGCCGACCATCAATGAGAACCTTTGACCTCGCTACTAGAAATACATGTTGTTGGTTGCTGAATAAGCAATATCGTGTTTACCTGATGTGATCTTGTCATATTACTTTTGCTGTAACTTCTGTCTATAAATATATTTGCCTGAGTCTGGATACATTGGTAGTAGCCCAAATTGAAACACGTCGTCTGTGTATCACTGAAAGGCTCTCCCTGAACGTTCGATCCAAAAGTGAGGTGTATGGAACGCTTTGCCCAGCAGTTTATTATGACCCCAACAAATTCATTTTGAACTCTGTTCCAAATTGCCAAATGTCAATTCTGTGCAAAAAATAATTTTGTCGTCACTACACACTGCACGTTGGCAATGCTTTTCCCTTTCAGACACAGCCTGCAAGGGGTTAACCCTCCAGCTTCCCTATACCCTCCGTTTTAATCGCCCCTCATATCCTCACCGCCCCCTCCTTTTCTCTTGTCGGCGCAGACAATGCACATATGCTCTAAACAGGTTAGAAAGTCCAATCAGGACCTTGCGACGACTGCAATGACGTCAGTCAGGGAGTGGAAAGGTAACTTTTATAACATTATTTTAGGGTATTATTTGGGGAAAAAAGCGGCAAATAGAGTCGGAGTAACCCACTGAGAGTGCGCATTCCTTCTCAGTTCTGATTAGCAGCAAATCTGGGACATTCTGAGTTGAGCATCTCATCTTTTCTAAACATATTTGATGTGTTGTCTCTATAATGCATTTAATATGTGTGTGGGTGGGGTAGTTGGATCAAGCCTGGAGTGCTCAAAAATAGAGAACTTTAAACCTGGTCTGTTTTGAGGGTTGGACTCAGAGCTCAGTTGTATTTCTGCAGATAAATATGCATCTTAACATGTTTCTGAAAACATTTCAAGTGTTTTGCAAGTACTAGCGGTATATTCTCTAAACTCCCAACTGTAACAAATACAATTTCCAATGGCTTGAAAGAACTGACCTAGATTGTCACATACTGATTATTTTTAAAAGAAAATGTATGACAATCAGGAGTTTAGTGAATAAGCTTTTTTTTTTTTTTTTTTTAGTATACCACAAAAATAATATTTACAAATGGACTCCTGAGCGTGGCAGCAGATAAACTTTTACTAAAAAACAAGTAAACAATGCAGTGTCTCCAGGGAAAAGCGTGCACCTACTATACCTTCACTCCATACTTCTTCCTTGCTTTCCCCACATTTATACCGAGGTACATCAGCATTACATAGCTGTAGATGAAAGTCAGGATGACATAGGCAAAATTCTGGGGCAGCAAGTCTTCGATATCCGTCATCTTTACAGCTCTCAGCCACTAACTATGCTGTAAATGTTCGATGCCTGTTTCCCACGCACTATTTATGCGGGTGGGCGGAGCGCCCATTATCACAGTCTTGCATCACTTGGCAGTGAGTGCAGCATTCTACACAACGTGATGTAACAGTGCAGGCGTTCGATAAATGAATCTAGACCCACCCTCTAACTGTAGGAAAAAACAGGAAGGCCATGCACTATGAATATGTCATAACCATAACCTATACATGTAGTTTGACTCTCTGCTACCCAAGCCCAGATACGGATTATCCATACATGTAGATTGGTCTAGTTCG